TTTGAATATTTATCCTCTTAACTTATTTTTCTCTATCATCACTTTACCTAACTCATTTTCAATATTTTTTTCTACTCTAAATATATTATTACAAAAAATATTCAATATACATTTCATTTTAAAGATCTCGATGAGATCTTTCCAATGGTGTTTTTTTCATAATTTAAATATCAATATTTAAGTACAAAGATGAGAAAAAAGAAGCAAAATGTAAGCCTTGCAACTTGAAAAAAAAATCTCAAATATCTTTCTAACGTTTGCAGCTTTTATTCATTCCCCGATGCACCATTTTTCATTTTCATTTTTTCTGAAAAATTAGTATTTCAACATTTACGCTTTGACTGAAACTATTACAAACGGTTACCCATATTTACGCTTTGATCCAAAATTTCTGTATTTAAGATGGACGAGTGGGAGTGCAAAGGACACAATCCCACGGTCCTATTAGATTGACACATTCTGACAATGCGTAAATATGTGGGCGGTACTGATAATCCACCGATTTCGATCCCACGATTGCTTTGCTTTGCCTTACAGCCCATAATCATCATCCTTGAGACTGTTTTGAGCTTGCTTGAGGGACCCTGAATTTTCATTTAGCCTCGAATTTAGTCCATTTTCCTTGAGGCCTGTGTCTTTATTGATTCGCTATCTTTATTGATTTACTTTTATTTCATACTGAATCGAACTTGGTCTTTATTGCTTGATTTACATTTTAGGCCCCATCACCATTTCTTGGAACAATCTAGAATCTAAATGGAGAGACCTTGAGCTGGAAAATAAGGCAAAGAAGAAAAAAGAACAAAAGAGGCTATAAAGAATAATCCCAAAGGCATTCTTATGCAATATATCTACTTTTGTTTCTTCGCAAAATCAAACTTTTATAATTGTGAAAGCAAGCCTATTTTGACTTTTTGTAAAGAGAAAATGTTCCTTTTCCTTTTACTTTTAGATAATGAAATCAAATATAACGAAGAAGGCATGGACTCTTCTAACTTGTGGTGGCCCAAAAACAATCCAAAGGCAAAGGTATCCAAGAAGGCCCAAAAGGCTTGGGCCAATAGAAGGAAAAGAGAATTTTATTGCATAAATGGGTGTCAAAATGCAATGCACAAGCTTAGGAATTATAATGATGAGATATGCCAAACGCAATTTAATAAGAATCATGCGAAGAGAACTATTTTTTTTGTTTTTAAATCTTGAATGCAATCTAATTTCTGAAAACACAATAGGTCAGGGATATATTTCTCAGAGGCGGTTTCCTTGTGCAAATTTGGTTTTCTTTCATTTTTTCCTCGCTCAATCATGGAAGACCTTTACGAGAAATTTAATGTCAATTTTTTTCTATTTTTTTTTTGGAACTCCTTAGTGAGAGTTTTTGGGACTCCTTTGTGAGAGCTTTTTTTATTGTCTTTGTACAAGTTTCCAATCCCCTTTTCTTTTTTCATTTCCCTTTTTTTTGGTACATTAGAGCGGTCCAAAACCGCTTTAGCTAACAATGGCCCTAGGCCTTGACATGCCCCAGATATCTTCCTCAATAAAGTGATGAAGTACACCCGGAGGATGATCCAAAATAGTAACATCAAACGACCCTTGATAGGCCCAACTTACCAAAAAATCTGCACACATGTTAGCTTCACGATAAGTATGAACCAAGAAACACTGCCAATCCCGCTGAAGCAACTCACGACATCTATGAATAACTTGGAACATCGGGTCCTGTGACATAGGAGGCTGCATGATTTTGTTTACCGCAACAAGTGAATCGGATTCCACAATAACCAGCCTATAACCAGCATCCCAAACAGCCCGCATGCCATGGAAAATTGCATACAACTCAGCTTTCAAAATGTGGCCCCAACCCAGCTTACAAGTGAATCCGAAAATCCAAGCACCCTCAGGGTTTCTACAAATCCCACCAGCTGCCAATTCTCCCGGATTTGTTCGAGCTGCTGCATCAACATTGACTTTAACAAAACCTGTAGGTGGTTTCGACCAACCAATGAAGACAGTAGACCTGCAATTTGAACAAAAAAACTTTCCCCTGCAATTTCGAAATTCAGCCACACTAGAAGCAATCATGAAGAACGGGTTTTAAGGCCAAGCAAAATTCTCCTCAAACAGCATACAATTACGCCATTTCCAAATATACCAACAAACAAAACTAAAAATCACAGGCCAAGGTATCTGATCATCCACCAAGAAGCTAGACAAATCCAAATTATAACGCAACCATTCATCCAAATCCAAAGTATTAAATCGAACCAACCTGGCACCATGTAACCAGCGCGACCAAATTGATTGCGACGTCCCACAATCTCTAAGAACGTGAAGAACCGATTCATCAGCCACCCCACATCGAGAACAAGTAGCAATAGAAGTGATGTGTCGGCGAAAACATGCCAATTTAGTGAGGAGACGACCATGTCGAACCAACCAAAGAAAATGCTTAACTCTAGGTGGAACATCCAACCTCCAAATCTTTTTCCAACCAATATCCATAGAAGTCTCACCTGCAAGTAATTTATAAGCAGAGGAAACTGAAAACAAACCATCAGAAGAACCCAACCAATAATTTCGATCCACTTCCCCATGTGAAGGTAAAATGAGAGACAATTCCTCACGGATATGAATCGGAAGAAAATGGAGTTTATTCCAATCCCAACCGAGAGGAGAAAAATAATTTGAAACTAGCTCTGTTCGCATTTAAGACGTAGCCACAACTTCACATCTAGCCTCCAAGGTCGCATCCCCTAACCACTTATCACACCAAAAGGATGTCGTCAATCCATCACCAATTTGCCTCGCAGTACCTTGAAGAACAATATTCTTGGCTGAACAAATGCTACGCCACGTATGGGAAGAGCCTTTGGACATGGTGTAATTTAGAAAACGTTGACCCTTAAGGTATTTGGCTTTGAAAACTCGTGCCTATAAACCAGGATCCTCATTCTCCAGCTTCCAACCCATCTTGGCCAGCAGTGCTTGGTTCATCATTCCAAGCTTTCGAAACCCCAGACCACCCGAGCTCTTAGACTGACAAACTGAATCCCACTTAACTAAAGGCACCTTCTTCTTATCATCCGTAGAACCCCATAAAAAATCTCTATTAAGCGAGTCAATCTGATTAGTAACTGAACTAGGCAACTTAGAAGTTTGCATCGTATACACCGGCATCGAACTTGTAACAGATTGTACAAGAGTAGCCCTGCCTGCAAGCGATAAACTATTAGCTTTCCATGAAGCTAAACGCTTCTTCACTCTATCCACAAGATGATCATAAGTATGTCGAGATACCCTACGATGAAGTAAAGGTACTCCCAAGTAACGACCCAAATCATCACAAGAAGACATGCATGTTTGATCAACAACACTACTCACCAATTGTGGAGAAACATTAGGCGAAAAATAGACAAGAGATTTCGTAAAATTGACTTTCTGACCAGAAAAGGAACAAAAGAGATTCAAACAATCAACCATAACCTTACACTATTCATCAGAAGCTTCCCCCATTAAAACCAAATCATCAGCGAAGAAAATATGTGACAGAGAAGGCCCTCTACGGGTCATTTTAATAGTCTTCCAAGAGCCCGAATCCACCGCTGAATCGATCATATCAGATAACTTCTGTAAACAGAGAACAAATAGATATGGAGACAAAGGGTCTCCCTGCCTAAGGCCCCTTGAAGGTTGAAAATACTTAGTCAATTCCCCATTCCACAAAATATTCATCCGGGTACTAGTAATGCAAAACATAATCAGATTAATCAAAGTAGATGGAAGATCAAGATCCATAAGAACCCAACGCAGAAAATCCCAACTGATACGATCATAAGCCTTCTCTAAGTCCACTTTCATAACCATTCCACCAACTCTACCCTTCCTCCTAGATAAAGTATGAATAACTTCCTGTAACACCACAATATCATCAGTAGTACCCCGACCCGGAATAAAACTGCTTTGCATTGGAGAAATTAAATCCCGAAGCATAGGCCTAAGTCGAGTAACAAGCAATTTCGACAAGAGCTTAACAGTGACATTACAAAGCGAAATAGGCCGGAACTGAGTAACCTTCTTCGGAGACTCAACTTTAGGAATTAGTACAACCAAAACACGACTTAATTCTTCCTCAAAATTCCCTGTAATAAAAGCATTTCTCACAAAGCTACAAACAGACTCGCGCACAACCTCCCAATTAGCTTGATAAAAAGCTGCTTGGAATCTATCCGGACCCGGAGACTTATACGGAGCCATAGATTTTAAAGCACCATAAATCTCATCATCATGAGGAATATGAGATAAAAGCAGGACATGTTCATCATTCAAAGGCATTCGAATATGAGGACAAAGGTTATCAAAATCAACAACCAACCTTTCGGCTTGATAAACCGACTTGAAATGTGAAAGAACCATCTATTTGATAATCCCCAAATCAAAGATCCATTCCCCATCATTCCCTTTCAAAGCCGAGATCTTGTTACGATTCCTACGAATCAAAGTTGTGGTGTGAAAAAATTTAGTATTCCGATCACCAAATTGTACCCAATTGGAGTGTGATTTCTGAAACCAAAGCATCTCCTCTTGTGACAACACCAAATTGAACTCATCGGATAACTCCTTCTCTAACCGATATAAGAATGGATTCGGCCTAGTTTCAAGTGCACGCTGAACCCCTCCTAATCTTGCCATTAAGAGTCGCTTCCTCCGATGAATATTCCCAAAAGTATTCTTATTCCAAATACCCAAAGCTTCCCGAAGATGAGATAATGAATGATTGAGAGATTCAGCAGAATTCCAGGCATCCGAAAGTACCAACGGAAATGAATCATGGGATTGCCACGCAGCCTCAAATCGGAAAGGCCGAGTCAAGGGATTCCTACTCAACAAACCATAAACAGAAATAGCAACAGGACAATGGTCACTATGAGCTCGTGGCAAGTTTCGAACAATAGCATCCGAAAAGGAATGTCTCCAATGAACATTACAAAGAGCACGATCCAACTTCTTTTTAATCAAATATCCAGGTGGCTGTTTATTAGACCATGTAAACTTACAACCCGAAGCATCCAAGTCAATAAGTTGTCGCCGATCAACAACCTCCCTAAATTGCTCCATACGCCTAACAGGTTCAGGTCTTCCACCAAACTTCTCATCTGCTGTAAGAACCTAATTAAAGTCTCCAAGAAGCAACCAAGGGATATTATCAAAACCATCAAAATCAATAAGATATTTCCAAAATAAATCACGAACAGAAGGAGTAGGGCTAGCATAAACAGCAGTGAGGGCCCAAAAAAAACCCTTATTATCAGAAATAAGAACTGAAATAAACTGACCACTCTGCTCTACCACATTCATTAAACCAATAGAAGATTTCCATAAAACCCAGATACCTCCGGAAAAACCCACTGCATCAACTTTAGTGAACCCATCAAAACGTAGTCTACTAATGATTCTATCAGCTTTCACACCACTAACCCTTGGTTCCACAATAATTAGCAAATCAACATGATGAGAATGAATAAGTTCTAACATATTCCGTCGAAAATCAGGGTTGGCAGCACCCTGACAATTCCAAAGAAGTATTGACATAAAAATATAAAAAATATCCCAATCCACAGGATCAAACCTGCATGGCAGCACACAACGGCTCACAGACCCCAACCGAGTCTTCTTTAGACAAATTATCCATCTTATCAACAACCATATCCAAGTCACCATTGTGCAGCACCAAATTCGAAGTCAACGGAGGATGTTGTTGAGGCAAAGATAAAGGATCAGACGTTAAAGACTTCACGCCCTCACCATCAGGATGCCCAGCTGCCTCTATTTGTTTGCTAACAATCGCAGCAGAGATAACCTTCTTAGGCAAAAAATTAGAACTTGGCTCAACTAGAGTCTCTAATCTTTTTGGATCAAAAATAATGGGCTTTGAGGACCCAGCTTTAAAAGTAAAACCCGGAGGCGGAGCAACTCTACTGGTGGCTCAAAAGAAGTGGAAGCCCAAGGCTTATCCAAAGAAGATTGGGAAAATAAAACACCTTCATCGACCTTCTTTTTGTCCTTATGACCCTTCTTCAAAGCTGACTTGGATACGATTTTAATACCTCCCTCTTTTTTCGGAATCCATTCCTTTCGAGTAAAAGCTTTCACACCCTTAGAAGAAGTATTGACAGCCGTTGAAAGCAGCTCCTTGGCTTTATCCCATGAATCAAACAAAACGACATTCAAGGGATTGTAACGGTTCCTTAAATCCTTCCCAGCATCAATCACAATATTAGACCGATTCCGAGAATCACTCCCTTCACCGTCAGCCTTGCCCCTGTCCTTTGCCGGCGTTTCCTTCATCGGACGGCGTCCCTTACGTTGCACAATCATCCAGGGGCCCAAACCAGCATCCGGTGGATCTTTCACTTGAGATGGAGTTTGACTTAAGACACCATTGTCAGTGCTTGTAGCAGCAGCCGGAGCATCAGAAACATTCAAGGGACATGCATCCCTCCTATGGCCAAATTGCCCACATCTAAAACAAATCAAATGTAAACCTTCATACTCAACCTTCTGCACCATTGAACCAATGTTAACAACTGCTTTCAAGGGCTTAGACAAATCCAATTGCACACAAACACGTGTAAAGCCTCCTCTTTCCACGGTTTCAGTTGTTCTATCCAATCGAATCACCCTACCCACTCTAGAGGTAATACGCCTAATAGCCATGGCAGAATAATATTCCATTGGTAACTGGGGAAGACGAACCCAAGCAATGATAGTGTTGATGACATCCGAATCCGGTTGAAAATTAGGACACCATTGCCAGACAGTGAGATAATGACCACCGATTATCCATGGACCTCCATCAAGAACATGTCTGTAATCTTCCTTCTTCTGAAATTTAAATAAGAAATAGTCATGACCAAGATCAATGATCTTGAAGCCTCCCTCAATTTGCCATAAGAGTTTAACACGAGTAGAGAGTGCCTTGAAACCAAGGATTTTCCCCAGCAGCTTCACAATAATGGCATTCCTCCAAGGCTTACACATCTCCCTTTTTTCCTCGGCAGTAAAACGAACACAGGATTATGAATCCCCACTTTCCTCCGTATCAGAAATAGCATCATCAAAGGAAATATCATCCTCATCCTCACCTGGAATCCAATCTTCCCAAGCTGAATCCTGAGTAGACGCCACCCCTGCTAAACGATCCCTATAGGTTACCCGAGAAGTATCCAATGGAACAGTATTGGTAGAAACACCACCATCAACAGATTGCTTAGGCACTGGCGAAGCCCCCACCAATTCCGGGCTTGCCTTAGCCCTCCTCTTTTTATATTTCTTCTTGTCCCGTCAGATTGCTTCATCCCTTAGATCAGGGTTCTCGAGAGAACTTTCTGTCATCGATATTCTAGCTGCACTGTTATCGATGTTCGAGAGAACTTTTTTTCATTTCCCTTTGAATCTTGACATTTATTCCTAATTTTTTCAACACCTTTTCATAAATGGCTGAAGATCTTAACAATCTTTGGGCTAATTTAATATTGTGAGAAGAAAATGTTATCCTTGAAGTTAATCCCTCTTTGGCACAAGAAACTTTAGGGATAGGATCGCACTGTCTTCTTGGAAGTTTGCAAGAATATGTGGAAGACTTCAAGAATTAAAACCAGTTTCAAGCATGGGCAATATAACAGTTTCTTCTTCGTGCGGAGCAAAAAAATGTCAAGGGGGCAAAAAAAAAAATTCTTGATGATAATTTTCTTCTTGTAATTTTAATTAATGGTGTTTGCACATAGAATAGCATATCTAAACTTTTGATAATAGTTCTAACTATGTTTGGTATGGGGATCTTTCCTCATGCGTTTTGTAATCTCTTTCGAAATCAATATTCAAGTTTAACTTGATGATAAAAAAAAAAAAAATCTCGAATGCAATCCAGTAGAATCTAAATGGTAATTAAGGAAAAGCATAATAAATCAACTATTTTACCCTATTTTACCAATTACTTTTCTTTTAATAAAAGGAGTATGCTTATACTTCATTACAGAAACAACATAGTGTTGTTTTGGCCACTTAAATCCAGACAATTTAACCATAAACATAAAGATCATATAGAAGAAGTTCTTTAAAATCCAAAAACCACACTAAATGGCTCATACTTGGACAAATATCCTTCCTACTTCAAACCATTTAAGAATCTTCACCGGTACTTGATGAATCCAATCTCCTTAGCGCGCGTTGCTACGGAAGCACTGTCTGCAGCACATGAGACCATACTTCCTGATGATGGCAATGGCATGGGGGGTTTCCGCACACACGGCAGGCACGAGAGCCAGGGCCGTAGGTTTTGGTAGTTAGCAAAAAAAAAAAAAAATGTTACAATTCATATGAAAATATTTCAATATAAGTAGAATTTTGAATTTACTCTAAATAATCCATTCCAAATATTGCAAGGTAATATACCAAACAGAAATGCAAGTAAATTACCCAAACTATTTCCATTTACTAAAAATTAATAAATTAATTAAAAAATTGATGCAAACCCCTATTATTAATCACAATATTGATTCTAACTATAATGTCGAGCCATATCAAATCTAAAACGGATGAAAATTCTCTTAAGACATCTATTTTCCTTCATTTATTTATTTATAATAATACTTGAACTTAAAAAGCTAAATTATGCATTTCTCTCATTCATTCATTTATATAATACTTGAACTTAAAAAGCTAAATTATGGTTCATATACACTAAAAAGAAAAGTAAAATTTAAAAAAGAAGTAACCAAATAATCCTGGATTATTAATATTAACTCAAGTAGTAAAGAAGCAAAACACTATGAAACAAATTTTAAAATACAATTTACCAACTTCTTCTCTTTAAGTTTACACTCTCAAAGGATTTATATTATAAATTATATTATCTATTCATGATACTATTATCCAACAAATTAATTAACGGATAATCTAATTATAATTAACAAGCTCTAAGCGGCTTTCCGCAAAGACAATCGTTGTACATAAACGACGACGCTTCAAGGTGATCGAACGGAGCTCCTCCCGGAATACGCCCGCAAAGATGGTTGAAACTTAAATCCAAGTGTCCGACGTAAGACGCCAACGACAATGTCTTCGGTACTGGACCCTTGAAGAAGTTATGCGATAAATCGAGGACCATGAAATAAGATCTCGGCCCGAAAACATCCGGGATTTTGCCTTGTAATGCATTTCGGCTCAAATTCAAGTTTCCGACGGCGGATTTCAAGAGAGTTGATGGTAGCCCACCGGTGATTTTGTTGCAATCCAAATTCAATGTCGTGAGCACCGCCATTTTCCCCAGACAAGGAGGAATTGTACCGTATATCTTGTTAAGGGACAGGTCCAAATCGGCGAGACGGTAGATTTGACAAACGGAGGCGGGAATTGGTCCGGATATCGAGTTCCCGCTCAACAAAGCTCGGCTCAACATCCTGAGTCGGCCGAAGGTTTTTGGGATTGGACCGGAGATTTTGTTGTTTCTCAAATCGAGATGCATCAAGTTGGATAAATTCGTCAATGAAGCTGGAATCCTCCCCGATATTTGGTTATCGGCGACGTTCAAAACCGTTAGACGCTGCAACTTGCCGATGTCAGTGGGAATTTCTCCCGTGATTTTGTTACCAATCAAATCAAGAATACGAAGAAACGGCAGCGAAGCAATGCATTTAGGAATCTGGCCGGTAATTCCTTTCCAGTCAGCGATAGTAATACTTGAAAGGCGAGTCAACTTACAAATCTCGGACGAGATATAACCGGTCATATAACCGGAACGGCCAGCTCGCTCGAAGAGATCTTTCGACTCACCACGGAGATTGATGTCCGCAACTCGCTTTGACTCAGTGTCACAGCTAATGCCATACCAGTTGTGACAGCAGTCGGTTCCCGTCCATGACTTGAAGATTCCCAAGTAAGGCTCGTGAAGAGCTGCCTTGAATGCTAACAACGCCGCACGGTCAGACGGAGGGCAACTGTTGACGGTGGAGATGACGGCAAACAACAATACCGAGATAATGCTGAACGATCTCTTCATTATTTCTTTGTTAATTAATCTGAAATCTGAAACAGATGATGACTTTATTTTTTAAAAGAGAAAAATTCTGAGTTAGGAATTGAAGCTGAAGCGAGAAAGCTGAAAGCATATGGGGAATTGAGCAAGAATAACGTTGTTCATTTATAGGCGGGAACTGTGAATTTTTTTTGTGACGATTCTGTCCCTAACGTCCAGGGTGGTGTGCTTTCTTGCTTTGGCCGACCATGGAATGGAGGTGTGCTTTCTTAGAATGTTCATTTTAGTTTTGCCACGTCACATGGTCGACAAGAGATTGGATTATTACATTTTTTTCAGCCTAATAATGGATGTCATGTGATCTATATATTCTTTTTTTTTTACATTGTTTTAATTTAATCTTAGTCTTACTCTCGATTTATTTAAATAATTAGATTGTCTCATAATCGATTATTTAATTGCAGAAAGAATTAATTTTATTCTCTCATAATTAAGTTTTTAATTGCAAAAAGAATTCATGTTAATTTTGTTGTATATATATGTATAATATTTATATTTAATTTCCTATTACTGAAAAGAAGTGAAAATATATACTTATATAATGCATGTAAGTATGGAATAGTGGTGGAGAAAAAGAAAATCCCATAAAACTATTGAATGTAGAGTGACGAAATGACGATGCTAAAGAATCATCAAGTTTGTGGGAGTTATTACGTAATCGAGTCTGAATCATACCTATAATCTTATATTTAAATGAATTTTAGTTTAAATTAGTATTTTAAATAAATTTTAGTTTAAAATATTGTACATTTTTTAATCTATATATTGGACTAAAACGTAAAATAAAGTTTAGGACTAATTTTTTTATTCAATTAAGGACATCGCATTAATTAATAGGCTAAAATCTCAATTAGGGCCCTAAACTTTGCCAAAAGGGTCAAATAAGTGCCCAAACTATGAAAAGGTCAAATTAGTGCCTGAACTTTTCGATTTAGGGCAATTCAGTCCAAAATGTTAGATTATAAGTCTGTTAAATGTAAATAATCCAAAATATTTTGGATTGAATTGACCCAAATCGAAAAGTTCAGGCACTAATTTGACCTTTTCATAGTTTGGGCACTTATTTGACCCTTTTGACAAAGTTCAGGGCCCTAATTGAGATTTTAGCCTAATTAATAATAAGATAAGGATTTTAAGACGGAGTTTAGCTCCAAATAAATTATTTATTTATTTTGCTAGATAGATAAAGACTTATTAATATTGGTTATGATAGAACTTTAGAAAGAATAGATGATTATAGGTATGATTTAGACTAGATTGCGTGATGATTGCCACGGACTCGAGTTCGTAGGATGATTACGATCATTGAACGTAAACACTTAAGTAAATGGTATTTTAGTTTTTTCGTCCCTTATTATCAAATCATCTTAACTTTTTCAAGGTAATAAATATTTAAATATTTTTTTTGGTGAAAAATATTTTATAGTATTTAGACTTAAATATTTTAAAGGTTATATTTAGGATTGGTTTCCTATTTTATCCTATATATGTTCTCTCACTTCCCTCTTACCTTTCTCTCCCTTTTACCTCTCCCCGACATTTATTGATGAAGGTTTTCTAGAGGAGTTCGACAAAGAATCCCCTTATTTACAGTGATATCGCTAGCAATCTTCTCTTATCCATACTTGTCAAAGTTGACTGATGATGACCAAAATTGGGTCAAATGACCAAAGGCTATAACCATCATAATTAAGGGTGACAAAAATAAAGTAAAAAAGTGATACATTCGACTTCTTAACTTTTCTCTCTCTAAAATTGAGAGCTTCTCTCTCTAACGAGAGCTTAACACCGTAGACGGTGGCCGGAAACTCCAAAAGTTAAAACCCTATAAGAGAAAACAAGAAAACCAAAACAGATCTATCAAACCCCAAAAGATACACCAAAAAATCCAACCCTTAATCACCAAGATTGGAACTTTCAGAAACAAACAACAGGAGCAAACAAA